AGACTATCACTCACCCACACCAGATGGAAATCTCTACAGACTGTCAGTTCACACCCCATCACAAGCCAGCAAAACACCCACGAAACAAAGAAAGGTCTGTCACAGCCAAAAAATACACTCTAGACACGCCGCTGGCACTAGAGGCATATATATATTTGTAACTTTGTATTCCAAATTCACACAAACAAAAGGAGGTTAGAAGGGGGTTGGACTTTAAAGGGGTGATATATCGTCACAAATAGAACTGCCCGGTAAACCGTAGGCAGAGAGAGAGAAGAGGACAACAAACGAGGGGCTGTGACAAACTGTTTCGTCGGAGTTTCACCGACTCATCAGGAGGGCTGCCCCTTTTTATCTTAGGAGTTCTAAAATTGTTTGTGACTTGAAAAAAAAAAAAAAAAAAAAACAAGAATTGTTTGTAACTTTGTATTCCAATTTCACACAACATAGGGTTTTCTCCAGATTTTACTTGTTGGCTGCGAACATTTTGGTTCTGCACATCCTGAAAAGCAGGTAGTCTGGCTGCTTGTCCAACCCCGACATCCAGATCAGGATCAGCATTACCCGCAGCCTGTCGGATGTCCGCCCCCATTGCACAGAATACAAATGATGTATACATGGACTGCATGTGCACAATGCCAGGGATATACGAGATGATGTAATCCACTGACCATAGTGATGTAATATCATTTCATCAACATTTTGCTGAGAGAATACCTGCTGAGATAGAGCTCCTTTTTGTAACACCATAAGACGGTGGGCCGTGCTTTCACCACAGCCTTTGAAAGCATGTAATGCAGATTGACCACCTGCACGCAATCCACACGATAAGGGATCAACATGAACAAATGTTCTTCGTCGAGGTCTGCAAAACTTCAATCGATTCCAGCACTCGTATAATGTTGATGGGGAGCAAAAAAAAAACGTTCGAGAGGAGACTTGACGCCAAACAGGAATTTGAGACTCGAAGCAGAAAGGAGGGTGAAAAAAAAAAAAAAAAAAAAAAACAATTATGTCAACTTCCACGCGCGCCTAATTGTCCTGAGCAGCTCGCAACAAACCGCACTCAAAAAATGACGAAGTATCGACCTAGGAATCTCCAAACTATGGCTGCGCCCAGTCTGTTCCACTTAGCGCTAAAACTACCATCCTCACCCGAATAAAATGCCCGGTCATCATCGCTGCATCTGGACTGAAAGTCGCACTCACTACAGATATAATGACTGGGTGACGACATTCTATTCGGGTGAAGACGATAGTGCAGCTAAACTTTTCAGTCAACGCTAATCAGGCAAAGGGCAGTGTGAATGAAAATTCTCTCACTACTTCTGTCGAGCTCATGTTCTCCCCTGGACTGAAAGTTGCACACAATACAGATATACACCAAGAAATCCCATTTCCGAAGTTGAGAGAGGTCTAACCACTGAGCCTACCTAACAAAGACTCTTCAAATAGATTATATTCCCTCAACAGCAAAACACCAAAAACGAACCAAAAAAAAAATATACGCACCTCGTTTTGGGGGGGCAGATTTGGGGTTCAAATCCTGCCTGAGCCCAACACTTCCTCCACCTCAGTCGGAACTCCCCTGATAAAATATCCACAATGCTGCAGATTTGAGAGCACTGTTTGTAGCACTTCCTTAGAACAGACTGCAGCCTTTGTTTTTTCAAGAGATCGTGAGATCGGTACATCTCGTACTATAGCGAAAGAACATCAAGAAATGTGTCTGGGATCATCTTCTCCTTCTCTGCTGCTGGAGGCATCATCTGTCATGCTCTGGAACAAACACGTGTGCTGTTTCCTTAAAACCACCAGTGCATGCCTCGCATCGGCAGCAGGGCCGTGTCAGAGGCCGAAAGGCAGCCCCGACCGTCGATTTCTTTCATCGACGGCGTGCTGACACCGATTTTTTCAGAGAGGTGACGAGTTTCTTTTCAGCAAGGCTGCGGCCGTGTACTGACGGTTTAAGAATATGGTTCTATTGATCCACGCACCTTCTTCTCCCTCCAGGTAATATTCGAACCCGACTCTGTTGAAAGGATTTCCTGAGAATCCGCGTTTTGTACAGGTCTCTGTCCCAAGGTTCCAAGTCCCCTGTAGCATAAGTCCCAGATCGGTAGGTAGTTACCTAGAGTCTAGGCTGTAGGTCTGGTAGGCTGTAGATCCAGTGCCATCCAGTCCGTACAGTCTAGTTCATTCCAGTCCGTACAGTCCAGTGCATTCCAGTCCGTACAGTCCAGTCCAGTCCAGTCCAGTCCAGTCCAGTCAGCAGCCGAAGTCCCAAGAAAGTCAATGAACATTCAACGAAAAGTCAGTGAACATTCCGGCTGTGGTCAGGAGCTGACCGCTGCCAACAAGTGAAGGTACCAGTCGGGAAAGTCCGAGGTTGGGCAACCGAAGCTTCACATATAAATGTCCAGAACCAGTGGGCATCAACATCGTTTCCACTCGTGCCTGTCGCAGAAGGGCTGCTGTGGTCTTGTGCGAGCGAGTGCCAAGTGAGGCAGGCAGGAGACAGTAAGAGTCGCGGTAGTCGACGGCACTGGGCGCCATAGCTGTAACTCAGAGGGACAGAGTGAGGAAGGTATTCAGAGAGGGAGAGGGCCTGAGGATAGAGAAAGTGAGAGAGAGTGAGAGAGAAAAAGGCTGCTGCAGTCTTGTGCGACCGAGTGCCAAGAGAGGCTGGCAGAGGACAGTAAGAGTCGCGGTAGTCAACGTCACTGGGCGCCTGAGGATGGAGAGAGTGAGACAGAGGGTGAGAGAGAGAGAGAGAGAGCGGGGCGGGTGGAGAGGGAGGGAGAGAGGGAGAGGCAGAGGGAGAGGCAGAGGGAGAGGGCTCACTGGTCTATTCTTGGTGATTTTGGGCTGCTGGTCATCATGTCCTAGATTAAGGTCAACTATGTCTCCACTACCTACTACCACCACCCTCGACAGAGCTGATCAATGAATCAACCGTCTGGTGATCCTTACCGATCCTCGTGCCGAGGGTGACTTATCCTGATTGTGCCCATCTCCTGTCTGCATCCTACGTTCCAATTCATCACCCTCCCTTTAACTGACTTCTGGAATGTTGAGCTCTCCCTCCAAACTGACACCATGGCACATGGATTGCCACATTCTTCCATGTTTCCCAGTTGATTGTTCGCGGTGTAAGTGACTCTGGTATCCTCTCATACATCCATAACCTTGATTACTACTGTCTGTTTCCCAAGTTCCCTTCTTTGAGACTCCGTTCTGCACCTTCTCTCTACATGTGGCAAAGACTGTGGCGAAGAGTGTCCCATGAGCGGCTCACAAATGAGTCCATAACTCCATCACTGGGTGTCCTAGGTTGCGACACGCAATGGGTTTACAACCCCATTTGTGACATCCAGTTGTGGGACCCATGAGTTGTGGGACACCAAGTTAAGGACACCAAGTTGTGGGACAAAAACTGAGTCCATGCCTCCATCACTGGACACTCATGGGACTCACAACGGGTCCAGAACTCCATCCGTAACTGATCATCGTCCTTGCTCAATCACACATGTCAGACCAAGTTGTGGGACACAAGTTGTGGGACAAAAACGAGTCCATACCTTCATCACTGGACACTCATGGGACTCACAACGGGTCCAGAACTCCATCCGTAACTCATCATTGTCCTTGCTCAATCACACATGTCAGACCAAGTTGTGGGACACCAAGTTGTGGGACAGAAATGAGTCCATACCTCCATCACTGGACACTCATGGGACTCACAACGGGTCCATAACTCCATCCGTAACTCCATCATTGTGCTTGCTCAATCACGCATGTCAGACAGAGAGGGGAATGGGTTTCAAATGGGCAACTCGCAAATGTGTCTCAACTCCGTCGTTGGTGTGTCCATCCATGGCGCCTAATGAGTCCTTCACTCCACCCATAACTATTCATTTTTTTCATCATGCTTGCTCAATCATTTTAACACACTCATGAAGTGTGAAAATGAGCCCCAAAGCTCCATTGCTCAATCACTTTCACACCCCATGCTCGTGTACACAGGAAAGACGAAAACAAAGGCACCTGCAGGTACTACCTACCCACCGGTACCGTCTTCCTCCGAACACACCGCACCCTCATTATGACTGCATTCAACCGGAAAGATGGCTTGTATACATCCCTAATCAGGGTGCGTTATGTTCGGGGAAAGACGGCAGTACTATTCCAGCCCCTGTCCACAACTCCTATCTGATTCTCCTTTGGAAAATTTTGTCCTGGCTATGTCTATTCCACTAGCAGCGGACAGCATCCCAGTGCATTCAATCAGGCAACCACTATAGCTACACACTGAGGAGACCACCTACATCACCCTCATCAATTCTGTGTCAGTGAATATCGATCTTCTTTTTTTTTCCTTTTTTTCCTTTTTTTTTAAAGGAAATATGGGTAATCACAACTTATCAGTGAATAACGATCAAAACCTGACACTGTCATATGCTGACAGAGAGTTGTGATCACAGTCTGCTCACATCCAAAATTCCAGCTTTTTTTTTTTTTTTTTTTCAGCTTGATTTTCCAAAGCACAGAATTGTGTGACAAGCAGCAGAGACACACTACATCAATCAGCATCAGCATCCACCTTGGGGGGGGAGACAAACCCATTGTCAAAAGCACAGAATGTGTGACAAGCAACAGAGACACACTACATCAATCAGCATCAGCATCAACCTTGGCAGGAAAAACCCCTCACTCGCTCCATGATTGACAAGCAGCGGAGACACATGGTACTTATTCTGATATTAAATTCAACTCTAATGTTTATCATATATTCTTTTTTTTTTCTTCTTTTTTTTTTTCATATATTCATGAATATATGATAAAGATTAGAGTTGAATTTAATATCAGAATAAGTACCTACCTACTACATAAATATAAAGATGTATTGCTTTATTTATAATACTCTATTTTTTTCTAAGTAATTTACACAAGATAGATCAATAAAAGCATCAACCTTTTGGTGAAGGGAAAAACCCGCCAATCACTCCATGGACAGCCTTTACCCACCTGATCCCTGCCTTTGTCACCGACGATCACAAACATTGTCCGCTGCCGCGTCTTCACGCCATTCTCAACCAGCATGCGAATTCGAGAATCCACCTTCTTCCTCATCTTGTCGAACCCCTAACAACAAAAAGATATAGGGTAGTCGACCCCCTCTAAAAAGAAGATATAGGGTAGTCGACCCCCTATAAAGGAAATATATAGGGTAGTCCACCCCCTATAAAAAGAGATAAAGGGGTAAAACAATTTACAACTGTAATTCAACGAACGCTAGCAAGTTCAAAAAACTCCGCAGCGCACTGATGAACCAACGAGGGAAAAGGTACTGCTGCTCAGAGCAACACGCAGGTCAACCAACACACAGTAAAACAAGAACAAAGAACAAAACAAACAAACAATATCCAAATGTCAACAATAAAATATCCTCAAGGAGTTGTGGCAGCAAAAGGATGTGCAAGGGACAACGTGCCCAAAGGGGCGAGCGGCAGAGCAGGATAGGGGAAGAGAACAGGACCACAAAAAAAGGAGGAAAGGAGAGGAGGAGAATAGGCCGGTGGGAACCAGCTTACCCGTAGGATCACTGGCAGTGGAAGAGCAGAAGAGGACAAAGGAGACGCAGTCTGCGTTAGGAGGAAAAAAGAAAGAAAGAAAGAAAAAAAAGGAATTGGTCTCATACGGCTGTCTAGCTGCATTCCGGGGGCGCCGGGGGGGGGGGGGGAAGGGGAAGGTCCCATTTACCCGGATGTGTAATTTCTGACCGTGGACTCCCGATGATAGAAGGTCGAAAATAAGGAATCCCCGACTAAAGCCAGTGCGGTTACGCCCGCAGACATGAAATATCAATGAGATATTCCGGGTCTCCCTCCATCTACAGATCTCATTGCCCACTCTCTCTCTCTCTCTCTCTCTCTCTCTCTCTCTCTCTCTCTCTCTCTCTCTCTCTCTCTC